TCTTTAAGCTGCTCCGGAAGCGAATTATGAATATATTTCTGCGGAGCCCCAAACTTTCGGCGAGTGCCCCGCCCACTGTGGGCGGGGCTTCCCATAGGTCAAGTGTGCTTTTTATTTCTTGTCCCATGCCCTACCCATCCCCACCTTGACCCGACCTCTCCAAGTCGTTCTTCAGGTCGAACGACAAACGGACAGACAAACTTACAAACAAACAAACAGACGAAGCGAATTGTATATATGGGGTGATAATGAAAGAGGGTCCAGTGAATGTATGGGCGGAACTTGAGTAACAGTTGGAATACATAGATGACGATTACTTTTATATTCATTGCTTGATTTCTGGGATCTTTTGTACTCCTGTTGTACACCTGGATTGTCAGCACTTAGAGACAACGAGTATTCCAGAAATATGAGCAGCAGTTGAAACGAGGAACACCGTTTGCTATCCGCTACAGTTTCATTAACGGGTTTTGCGAAGGGTTCATGTTCTTCCAACTCTACATTTTCTACGCAGCTGCATTTCTGTACGTGATTCTTTTATGATAGATACTGTAACCAAGAAATGAATACTATATCCACCGCAACAAAGAATGGACACTTGCACTTATTTTAGATATGGGATTCCGAGCTACTACCATGGAATAACGCCTGAACCTGGAACGATATTCATTGTAGCTTCTACGGTGCTGCTAGGTAAAGAGGTGAAGATATTTATTGCCCTAACCTCAGCATGCCTCTTTTATTCTAGGCTCCTATTTTTTCGGGCTACTTGGTCCACATATGATGGCTATCATGAAGGCAAGAATTGCAGCAGCGATCATCTATGAAACGATTGATCAGGTATTTAAATCCAATAATTGACTGTTGACCATTTCGACACCTTATAAAAGTGTCTCGCTTCGAACAAAGCAACATGGTTGCAACTTCTCTTTGGATAACAGTTACTTAACAGAAAACTGGTTCTACGAAATAATGCCCCCTATTTGCTCAAAGCAGAAAGCAATGTAAAACATGTGTCGTAGAGTTGGTTTCCAATGCTTCAAACGGGTCACATTGAAAACCTCCACAAAATTAATTCCTAAATTACTTATGTTGACCTGAACGCGGCATTTGCAGTAGACCAAGCTTCTGTACTACCACGAAGCTATCGTCATGCCAAGTAGCTCTTTTATAGTTAACAAGGTGCAGTCTACAAATGTCCATTTCTGAGTTGTTAATGACTGGGGCATAACACCTTACAGCACAGCAAGAGCAACAAAGGGGAAGAACGTGACGTAGGCGTGACTTGGATGTTGGTAGGAAGAGGCCTGAGACATTCTACTTGAGCGCCATCTGTCGCTGTTCAAAATAGGTTTGGAGAGTAAATCGTATTGGTGTGAGGCTAGGAGCAAAACACAAGTTTACGAAAAGTGCCGCGGGGATGCACCATCATGTCATGTCAATCCCTGTGAGGCGCTAAATTTCTGTTATAGCCTGGAGTAAAACAACTCTCAACAGGCCCTTCTCTTTCCTGTATGACTTGAGATTATCGGGACATACGTTGATAATGCTTCATCGTCACCTGTGAAACGCTGCCTTAGCAAATTCGTGTGTATGAGAGCTCAGAATGGTCTCTAGTGATGGTCTTCCGGGAACAGCTTTCGATTCCGCGTGGTTAGTCACATGGGCGATTCGAGAGCAAGAGGTGAAGTCCCATAAAAGCAGTCACACGAGGAAAAAATTGGCCGTTATCGTCGCAGGAGTGGAAAATGTCCCCACCTATTTGAAAAAAAGGAACAAGTCAAATGGAACGTTGACGACGGGGATGGCGTGCATCGATGAGTGTTCATTCAACTCCGCACGTGCGTAGTATTGTAGGGTACTTTGATAGGATGAGCGTGTTCCTCTACGTAATGAATATTTGTCAATGAACAATGATACATGATACGGTCACATGTACAATATCAGATAGCGGTGAGATAATGTGGAAACCTGCATCATGTGTGCCACGGAGCTTGTGTTATGGACCCCAAACCCGAGCCTAACTGATGAGAGCCGCGATTCTGACGTGACGACCTGGTTTCATAGCTTAGCGACGTAGTGACGCTCAATCGCATGATAACATGCAACAAGAACAACGCTGAGATTCAGTACTGTCAGAAGATTGATTTAGCTCGACACCAAGATTGTTAAGAAGTCTTTATTCGGCTGACGTTTCGGCGTCGTCGCCGTCTTCAGAGCCTGGAAAGCCGGAAGACATTTTCGAAACTACTCATCCAAGTTGAGACTCAGGATGAAGCTAGATTTTGAGCGCCTCAGTATGGGAATGTTTACATGCAGAAAAGAGCTTCGGGCTCATCAAGATGATAAAAGCGCAGGTAAAACAGCAAGGCTCAAAGGTGTAGTGATGTGAAAAAAGTGAGGTGAACAGGAGCCTAGTGAGGACTTTGGCGATGCTCTCAGAGAAGAACGGCCACTTACTGCTTGCGATGCTGATCACAAAGGCCATACCCATATCAAGAAAGTTGTGCCGAAAGACAGAAGGGGACAAGAACCGGGCTCAGCGATGTACAACTACGAAATGCCAGCTGGTTTTGTAACAAGGATCAAAACAAAAAAAAAATTAGCGAATTCATTCCTGTATTTTTCGATGCGCTCACGTTAGCTTTCAAAAAGTGTACGCGTTCGAGCCTCTGGCTCACCATACAAAGGCCCAACCTTCGAAACAACCTATCAAATTCCTCTAGTCACCAAGAGGCTCAATACTGGGCTTGGGATAAGAAGTTACCAGCTTTATCTTACATAAAAAATGCCATGACATCGCGATGCTTACATGAAATGAAAGTAGGAGCGTACCGGAGCGGGAACAAGGATTCACTGTTGCGCCAGGGGATCGGTTTACTTAGAAAGAGGCCTCGCGCCGAGGAGTCGGTGTGCGGTGCCGTTCAAGCAAGCTTTAAATAAATACAGTGCGTAACAAAAGTATGTGGACACCCCAAATTTTGATTTTGCGAAACTGCCTTTGGATATTGCGATCTGAGACCATCACTGTTAAATTCCTCATAAGCGAAAGTATAGGAATGCACTACCTACGAGCACATTGTGAACTATTGAGCAATGATCTGTTGTTTTGAAAAAATTTCCTAATAACAAAAGTATGTGAACTTACAAAAAAAAACAAAATATCATGAAAATTAAAATGTGCTCCCCATCCCGCGTTTCACTAATACTTCGAAGCATGACTTTCATGGCATGCTGTGGACAAGATTTGTGATAGTGTCTTCGTCGATTTAATCCCATGCAGCCACTACAGCCTCCTTGAGGTCTCGCACGCTGTTGTACTGCCGATTGTTCATGTAAATTCGTCGAGGGCCAAATCCCAATTTTCGATTGAGTGCTGCATGTCAGGAGAACATGACGACGGGCCATCATCCTATTAATACCCACTGCGTTGGAGCCATTAATAGCAGCATTGAAACATTACCACACGGCGGCGTTGTCCTGCTGCAGCACATGTGTCCTGGGTCGTGGCCCACTCAGAAAAAGCAAGAGGTAGGATTCGAGCACTCTTTGATATTCCTGACTGGTTCATAATGAAGGCGAGCTCAAAGACTTCCGCTGTCAAAACACACCCACACATCGACCTCGAGAACAGCAATGATCGCGAACGAAGGTCTCCCCAGTAGTTGCCGATATCCATCTAGACGCACAGCCGAACTCGACTTTTTTCTATCGGCGCTGAAGATGACCCGATAGAAAGAAAAGCGTAAAAAAGAGTGTTGCCTTTCCGATTTTACAAATTTCTCAAAAAACTTCACCGTTGTCCCACGACGTCGCCATGTTTGCACGCGCGAAGTTCAGTCTCGCCAGCTGGTGTTGGGCAGTCAGGCGAGGAGCTTTCTTCATGGTCTCTCGTGTGATATGCTCATTTGATCGAATATAGCGCCATATCGTCATTTTTGAGACCGGTAGATTAATTGCAGCATGGATCTATCTCACAGAAAGGGGGGAGTTTGAGGCGACCCGCGCTATTTTTCTGATGTCTTTTACGGACAAAGATCGAGGACGCCCAAAATATATCTGGGTATTACCAAACGCAGCATCGCCGAACGTACCGAGCTGTCTGCAATTTCTTCTATTTAGTGTCCAGCAGCAATGAAGGCTCAGAATACAATAGTTGTTCGTCCCTCGGGAGAGTACTGCCCGAGGCGAGACAGTTAAGGGAGCAGAGAATATATATGGGTTGGCACGATTTGAGTAAACTTTAGAAACTTCTAAGTTCCACACTACTGTTGTTATTAAAATTATTTGTCAAAACATATAAATAATGAAGCACTAGTTCACAACGGGGGTAAATTCAGAAGTAGTGCATTCCTATACTTTCGCTTATGAGGAATCTAACAGTGATGGTCTCAGATCGCAAAATCCAAAGGCAACTTCGCAAAATCAAAATTTGAGGTGTCCACATACTTTTGTTACGCACTGTATCCTCTCTACGGCCACCTCCAATGAAGAGTGAGAAGCTGAACGAGTGTGAATTGCAGCGTCTCGTCTTTCCGAGGCCCTGCAATTCCTCTCGGTAAATGCGAAGAAATTCGTCGTTGCCAGCTATCAGTTTAGGGCTAACCACAACCGAAAAAGTCGCGTAATTTGTTCAGCACCTGAAGCACTGTCTTTTTTTGTCCCAGCATAAGCGCTATAAAAAAGTAAAAATACGAAATTCTACCTCACCCTCCGTACTCGCCAGACCTTGCTCCAAGTGACTATCATTTGTTTTTGGCCTTGGACAACCACATGAGGAATCGGCGATTTGAAAATGAAGTGGCTTTGGACAACGAACTAAAACATTTCTTTAATTCCCAAAAGCAAGATTTTTACAAAAATGGAATATATGCTCTTGTGTCTAAATGGGAAAGTGTATTACTTGCTGAGGGTAATTATTTTTCGGAATAAATCTAAGTTTAACCCGTTTTATGTTATTATTTCACTACCTTCAAAAAACTTTTTTGGTTGCCTGATAATATCGTGGAAACTGGGTCAAAGACATCACGAATATTGATCGAATGACTGAGGCAAATGAAAAGAGGCGAACAACATTACGACGTAATATTCAATGAACTCTCTTAGCAATCCGAGATTGTTACAAATCCTTTACTGGACCGACGTTTCGGCAGTATTGCCTTCTTCAGAGCCTGTAAATCAAAACCTATTTTCGAAACAATTCGTCCTAATCCCATTTCAAATTGCATAGTGAAACTCAAGGTCAAGCAGTCTATAAATATCGTGAACAGGGCTAACCTTTTGAGGAGATGTCGTTTGCAGTCGGCACCCTGAGCTTAAGGATCTGGCAGTGAGGCTTTTATATGTATTTGGAACGCAATAATTAGGGTCAAACTGCTTTTGGGAAGATTTTGAATTTAATTGGGCCGGGTCAAAGCGCCGTAAGGGACCCTTTCCCCACATTAGGATTACGATGTAACCTTGACGGCAACACCTTGCATCAAAAACAAATTTGCTTACTGAAAATGATTTGTTTCTGGAAAGAAGTCTTTCGCAGTCGGAAAGCTATATGTAGTCGTCGAATAAAATAAAATGAAAAGCAGCTGGCCGAACGGTGAGGCCGTCAACTGACGTGGCGACTACTGCAAGAGTTCAGACGGCAAAGGGAAGAGGTGCGCCCGGAGTGCGCGCACGAAGCATCGTGGATCGTAGGATGACACTAACTTGAACGAGCGACTTTCCACACACAAGTGTATAATGTTGGAGCTGTAACAACAATAATAATAATTGTAAGCGCTACCGTATCAATACAAACGCGCGAATAATAACAATAGTCATAGAGGCCTAAAATCAAATCTAGGTGACGCTCACCAGCACACGTCCTTCCTCCTTCCTGACTAAAGCTTCTGCCACTGCACTTACAATGTCTTGGGAATTTGACGTGAACTGTTGATGAGACAAGAAGCAGCGGCCAGCACTAGATCCTCACAGAGAACAATTTTAGTAAAGTATCATAAACAACTGAGGGTATCATAATTACAAGCACCAGACAATCATTAATACACTAATGAACCCAAACGGTACAGTGAATGGATGCTCCAGATACCAATGGTAATACGCTGACAGCTTATGGGTCTCGAATACCTCATAGTAAAAGAGAATTGTGAAAAGCGACGAGTGAATTCAAGACTGCATTGAATTCAAAAAGAAATATGCAATTGTCAAACTTTTGGGAAACATCACTGTCTTCTGAGAACTATGAGGAGCTAGAGATTTGCAAGAGCAACTCATGACTTGTGCGATTGGACTTGATTCTGAAACTACTTTAGGCAGTGAAAATCGCTTCTAAAGAAGGAAACGAAATGAGAACTTGTGAGGGACGTTTGGAGTTCAAAGATGTTCATTTCAAGTACCCAACAAGGTAAAGAAGAGAAATACCTCTGCTGGAAGGATTATTGAAATGGAATGTGCTTATTTCAGAGAGACCCCTATACTGCAAGGCCTCAGCTGGGAAGCGGAACCAGGAGAGACCATCGCGTTCGTGGGAAAAAGTGGATGCGGAAAAAGCACTAGTGTTCGTTTGCGACTCAGTTGTTTCCGTATATCAATTTTTGAAACCAGTCTCCACTGTCGTGACCACTGTTATTCACTCATGACTGGCACAAGTTAGCGGATTTTCTAGCACACGCTTGACCCTGAAATCGCAAGCGGAAATTTGATTCGCATTCAGTTTGGGTGCATTCGATTCTGCTGTTTGGGCTGGAACACACTTTCCTGAAAACGTAATTGTGAACGCAGTCATCTCTTTCGCGACCATAACTTCTTCGTAGAAGAGCACTTGCAAAAAACACTCTATGATGCAAATTCGCCCTTCTTAAAGACAGCTCCCGCGATAAAAGTCTCATGGATAGCTGCTTTCCAATTATGAAACAGCAGCTGATAAGTAATCTCCCAAAGAAGAAAACAGGCAAGAAGCGTTCTCCAGAACAACATAAACAAAATCGCTCCCTCACAGTTACACCTCCCTGCGGTCTCTGTGCAGCCCCGCTCACCACCCGAAATTCCTCTCTAGTGCAGCATCTCGCAGTCGTTGATATCATCTAGTGCAAAAGAAGAACTGACAAAAAGACCCAATAAACCAACGAAAACGCAGACGGAAAAACCCCTCTCCGGGCAGAGGAAAAAGAATTTTATCAACACGGTGTCTGAATTGTGTATTACGGGTAGCGCACATTTTGTGCGCGGCGTGGTGTTTGCATCAGCGCGAAAGATTGCGTCACTCGCGTGTTTTTTACGCGTTTCACCTCGCGAAATGGTTGAATTGAATGTATATACCTCCAATGAGTAAACTGTAATGAAGGAGAGCAGAATTATCCAGGGGCATTAGCAATGCCCGCCGCCCAACTAAGAACAAGTGAGTGGCCAGCTGACCGTCGGAGGACATCTACGGGCAAGTAAACACGCGGTCCGCCATGAGGCAAGGAGTTAGAACTAGCAGCTTCGAGCGCTATAGCACCTGCCGACACGCTCGACAATTAGAGTCGCGAAAGGTGAACAGTCTTCTAGCTTGGAGGCTAGACTACTTGCACAGCAAAGGCGACCACGAGCCACTTTGATCGCGGGGGCTGTCTTTAAGGTCAAGCTAGATTTCTAAAATTGTAAAGTACACTTATTAAGAAGAGCGGCTCCTTTTCCTGCAGGCCCACACCTCAAATTTCTCCTTGTTCCAGTCCGCCAGCACTATCACATTAGTTGTTGTTCACAGAACAGACGCAGACAGACCGCGACGCCAAAAGTGCTTCCAAAATTTGGCCTGCTCCGCGTGCTCCGAGAATCTCTTACACTGGATCGTCAAGGAAAATCTTCCGTGGAGTGTTCATCTTGTGAGACCTCTAGCTCACATGTGTCGAGTTTCAATGTCAGATACCAGCTAATCTGCCACCCACTACGTAGTCAAGACTTTGCTCTCATTGCCAGTGCTTGAATCCTTTTACCGAATTGAAGCGGCAGCTTCGTGGGAAAGGAGAGCCAGCTGCAACCGATAGTGCACGAGTATTCTGGAACGCGTGATAACAATCATTTGCTGAAGAACCGTTTCAGAGGATCTGAGAAAATATGATGAAAAAATAATAGTGGGTGAAGTTGGTGGGTGCTGTGGGTAAACATAATTGTGCTCAAGTTTCATGTGCAGTTGCGATAGAGTATGTTGGTGGAAGTTGCACATGAAGTCTTGTTCGCTGCGGATGAAGGAGCGTGTCAGGCGCATGCCAACCCCGCTTTCCACCAGCTGTTGAAGCGAGCAAGCGACAAAACTGCCATATCGTAGCATCGTATCGCTCGTATCAGTCGTTTTACACGTGTTGTTGCCTACCCTCATCAGCAACGGACAGAAAGCGGAGTTTTGTAGCGGCAGCAAACCTATCCTGCAAGGCACGTCACTTCATCCGTGGCGAAGCAGGCTATAGGCACTCCTTCAGTGCACTTGTTAGGAAGACCTCTCAAAATAAAATCCGCCTCTTTTTCGTGTTCAGAAAAATAGGAGAGGTGGGATCTGTTGATGAATTTGTGCACACCTTGCACATTTATTAGGCATTCTAAGGAGTGAAACATGAAATATTCGCCCCCTCCGCTACAAATGTTACTTTTTTCTTACCTTATACAATTTTTCATGTAAGCAGTTCAGATAGGCCTCTTAACTAGACTGTATGATTGCGAAAAAGGATCAGTTCTTCTCGATGGCAAGGAAATCCGATCAGTCAAAATCAGTGACTTGAGAAAGGTATTTCCAGGTGATATATATGGCTATTTCTTCCTATCTTACTGTTTACTGTACTATTGCTCGATCCAGATATGTCACTTTTAGATGATCGGCATCGTACAGCAGGAACCGTGCCTATTTAACGGTACTGTTCGTGAAAACATAGTACTCGGTCGGCCTATCACCGACGAACAAGCTGAAGAGGCCGCTCGGATAGCAAATGCACACGACTTCATCATGAAGTTCGATAAAGTGAGGTTTCACCCATGCACATTGGCGAAAGTTGTACGGAACTGAGAATTTGCCTACAAATCTGTACATAGAACCTGTACATAGAAGGATTCCACCTTCCGGATAGTCGTCAAAAGTGTCTTTGAGGGGTATGACACCATCATCGGAAGTGGTGGAGTAGCGCTTTCGGGAGGACAGAAACAAAGGCTTGCAATCGCTCGAGCAGTGGCAGCTCAACCGAAGATCCTTCTTTTGGATGAAGCCACAAGTGCGTTAGATTCCGAAAGTGAGAAGATAGTGCAGGTATGATGCGAGTAAACAAGAAAATTTTGCTCACTTCTGTTTTATGGAGAAAGTCACCAATCTACTGCAGCTTGCGCTAAATCGGGCTTCACGTGGTCGTACTACTGTGGTAATTGCCCATCGATTGAGCACCCTAAAAGATGTTCAACGAATCTACTTCATTCAAGACGGCAAAGTCGCAGAAGTAGGTCAGTGAGAGATAGTTTTATAAGATTTACCTATCGTTGTTGTGATTACTGCGGTCGCTACCTCTGCGACTGCTGGTAAACAGCATGGATATTATGAATGCAAATGCGTATTTCCTTACCCGCACGATCTGTGCCAAAAAACGGTCAGAAATCTGCAAACAAACCCTTGTTCTGCATGAGCTCAGGAAGCGATTTCAGACGAATTTCTCGGTGGCATTGTGCCAATAACCGCTGTGGTAGACACGGCTGCATGTGTATACTCACATACATGCAGCACCGCAGCCGCTCCGTACCAATCCCGTCGCTTCATATTGCATTTCGCAAATGAAGGCAACGAGCATCAGCAACGAATTCCATTTCTGAGCGGGCGGGGGCGCTGGGCGTCCGGATCAGTATGTTGCAGTTCGCTTGCTTAGGGGTGCCGACTTCTGTCCTTCTAAGCGTATTAATCCTACACGTCTTAAGGATTTACCATGCCTTTTGCCCTTAAGCTTGCTCCTTGCCCCTCCTTGTCGTGGCTTATTAAGGACCACTCCTTTCCTGGCGATGGATGGCGGAAGTCCCTTCCACAATCAGGGCACATCGTTGCTGGGAATCCTTAATAGGAGGGTCGTTTTATGGTCGCAGGGAGGCGGGGGGGGTCGTGGTCGCAGGAGGGGGGGGGGTCGTGGGCTGAGGAAGAAAAATTTATTTTGATAGTTGATTTTTCTCGCTTCATGGACGTTGTAAAGGGAGAGGGGGTCGTATTTGATCATTTTTGGGAGGGGGGGGTCGTATTTACGTTTTGGCGTTGTGGGAGTGGTGGTTGACTTTTGGTGATTTTCCTGTTTCACATGTACTATATACCCCCCCCCCCGCCCCCCCCCCCCCCGCTCGACGGCTCGATTCGATGAGGAAGGACAGAGGGCTGGGGGGGGTCGTACCAACTCCCAAAAAAGGGGAGGGATTCGTATAGAGTCGATTCAACGGGCTAGAATCCTCACGAAGAATCCGAAAAATTGTCCTGCGACGCTGTCGATTGCAATAGCGCGGTGACTGCCCGTGTAAGTCGTGTCGTGTAGGTATTGGCGGCGACGCAGATCCGAGAAGCTGTAGTTCACGGGCATTTATCTCATGCTCTTGTATAACGAAAGTGGTACACTCTCTGCGACTACGAAGGTGTTACCAGATGTGCGAAGGCTCCCACGCATTGACTGGTAGCGGAAAATGCTTTTAGCTTCTCCACAAGACCAGAAGAATCCTCCTGCAACGTTGTAGGCAACAATATAGCGGTCACTCCTCTCCCTATGGGGTCGTTTTCATGTAGATAATAGCGGAACCACGCAAGAACCGATAGACTGCAATGCAGACTCTTTTCTTTTTCAATTCAAGCGTTCATCAAATGCTTGCCAAACCATTGATATTCTGGGCAGTGGTGTTCAAATAGTGATGTCAATATGCCAAGAAAGCCAATGGTGTAGAAAAGAAACAGAAAAAATGGTCGCAAATGCCCAAATAAAACCCGCTATCAAGCGCAGCTGTTCGAGCAGAGCGCGATCAAAGGATGTGATCGGACCAGATCACTGGGCGAATGATGTTGTGGTCGATGGGGTTGCCGTCATTGATCGCGGTCAATTTTCTATTTCCAATAAAGCCTTCAAATGCAGTGTCCGCAGTCAGTTGAAGTTTCTCCCTCTTTTCGCGATCAGGTAGACCGGTTCGCATAGGCAGCGATTGCACCATTTTCCCGCGCAAGAGCGAGTGAGGAAGCCAACGATGCCGTTCCTGTCATTCACCCAACCCAATTTCATTGGCTCCGCTCGCACCTCTACTCAGCCATCCTAACACAATGCCTGTCAATGGCATAGGCAGGGAAATTGTTCGTTGCTGGATTTTCAGATATGATAGAATTGAGCTATCCCTGAGCCTCATACGTTCTAATGTTTTCTTCAACAATATTCAATGAGTACTCGATATGAAATTTTCATTGGTAAGCTTTCGCTGT